TTAATTGCCCTATTGAACATTTTCAAAGACATCCATTGAAAGTTGTTTTTATAAACATTAGAAGATCAGACTTATAAAGTTCTTGCAGAGGCAAATAAACTAATTTTCCAAACTGGCCTCCTCTTACAGTTAATTCTTGCATAAATATTATGACAAGTGTAAAATCACTAATGGTGTGTGCCATAAAATAGCAGGAGAGCTGAAATCCAGCTACTGATTCAAGTGTGGCCTCAGCGAATGCATCAGTGAAAGAGAAGCCAGGACTGGATTTGGGTCTGGACTTCTGGTGCCAGCTAGCTGTCGCTCACCCTTCCCTGGCCTTGGTTTCCTCATCTGTGAAATGAAGAGCAGCCGGAATGGCTTTTAGGGCTTCTGCATCTTTACCACTCTAAGATCCTATGGCAGGGCTCTCCAGGAGAGCACAGGAAACCTAATTTCTCTGAATTCACTGCATTTAACCCACCCATTGTTTGTGTGAACCACCAATAAAAGGACAAGCTGCTGGAAACCAGTGTCTAAACACCAAACAAATGATGGGAATACCACGCCCCTGGGAGCAGGCAGGTGCGGGCACTGGAGGCCAGCAGGGTGAGCAGCTCAGGCTCTCTGCAAACAGCTGGCAGCTCAGCCCAGCTGCTCACAGATCAGAGAAGTGCAGGCTGCTCGCCCACGTGCAATTGCGTGTTAAGTACGGCAAATCTAAAAATAGCCTGAGCTCAACCCCGGGGATTAATACAGTGCTGTCAGTGTCTTTCAACTCAACTATGAGGGTGACAAGAAAGTGAGTAACTATAGCAACAGAAAAATGAACACAGAAAGAAAATCTTCTGAAATTGACAGGAGAAGTTTAGATTTAATAAAACAGTTATTTTTAATTCCTGTCTCTAAATCTTTGAATTCAAATAGTTCAATTCTGTAGAGGTAATAAAATTAGAATTTTGAAAAAACAAATACTCTTTCAGTTGTGGATTCCAGATCTGTGAGGAAACACATCTAACCTGTCAAATCATCCTTAATTAAGGGACAATTTGAATAAATGCCTTTATATAATTTTTAACTGAGAGGCTTTCCTCCATATTTGTTCTATCAGTTATAATAATAGTCTTGAGCCATACTTGACATTTTAAGATTATTACTACATGTCTGATGAAAATGTAGGGTGATGCAGAACTCTCTAGAAATGAAAGGGAACTTAGGGGACATCATTAACGCTGGAAGAAGTTTCGGAGGCAGGGCCCACAGCTCACACTGTGGCCCAGCGAGCACAGGGTGGGGGTCGGCCGTTCGCGCAAGTGCCTGTGTGTCATCGGTTCTGACGTGGTGCCCTCAGTCACCGAGCTCACACACATAACCCTAGAGTCCACACGTCCAAACCCCAGCACCCTTTAGCATCCTTTGATAAAGGAATATGTGCTAGGTGTTGGGAAATGCGGCACTGGTCCCAGCTCCTCCACAGACCAGTTGTGGGGCCCGAGACGAGTCGCTGCTCAGCCTCTGGTCTCTGCTGGATGAGTTGCTCAGGATCTCCCCTGAGTAGGGCTGTCAGGAGTTAAGGGGAATGAGGAGAGGGTTTGTGTTGATACCCCTCTGGGCTATATGCCCTGTGCTGGACTTTAAAATGCACGTTATCTTGGCAGTAAACTGGCAAGACAGATTATTTTATCTCCACTTTATATAAGAGGATACAATCATCACCAGGCTGAGCTAAGAAGTGACAGGGCCTGATTATAACCCGGTGTCTGTTTGATGCCACACGGAGCACTCTCTGCTCTCTGCACCACCCCAGCCACCTCTTGCCTGCAGTACGAAGACTAACCCCCTCCCCCGCCCCACCCGGGTGTTAGTTACATGCACTTAAACTGTCTACAGATTTTCAGGGACTGGCTTGCATTTTCCAAGCATAGAAGATTAGGTACCTTGGAAAGTCCCTCTATAATCTTCCCCTCACTCAGGCAACCACTGTTACCAATTATTTCCACACCAAATATACGGTGCACGATTCTGCCACCTGCCCTTGTGGTTCAGTAATATATCATGAGCATCCCCTTATTTAATGAAAATAAAAGTATTTTCATTTAATCTTTATAAAGACTGTATATCTAAATTATACTCAATCATTTTCTAATGGATATTTCAGTTGTTTCCATTTTATAATACTTTAATAATCAGGAAAGATAGAAAACATCATGTGGAAAAAACACTAGGGTATTAAAGTCATTTTTGAAGAATAGTAAGTCAAAAAGTAAATCAAGAGCTTCATCTTTGTGTGTTCCTAAAATTTCTGCTCAGAATCAAAACTGCCTGCAACGCAAGAACAGCCTTTAGTAAACCAGTGTTCTAATGCGCAGACAAAAAGACCCGTGTCTGCGGGCCCCTGGGTCAGGAATTCTTGTCGCGTCCCTCACCCCACTTTAAAAGTGTGGTCACGACGTTTGTGTGGGGCAGAGAAGTCACGGCTGTGTGGAGGCACTCTGGCTGAAAGTGAAATCGCACAAACACAAATCTAGTTTTGTGGTTAGCTGCAAGTTCACAGCTGGCACGGGCTTTCCTTTAGCTGAAGTGCTCCCCCTCCCGTGCCAGGAGAAAATGCTCTTTCAGTGCTCACTGGAACACCAAAATGAGAGCAAACGCTGTTGGAAAATTCTGAGGCTTAAGGAAAGCTGCTTTAAAGGCTGCTGGTTGGTATGTGGACCAACAACTTGGAAATTTCCTAACGGGATTTTCAGAGTTTTAGTAAATCTCTCAGTCACTTTTTGGTTCTCCTACTGTGATCAGAACCAAAATCAAGCCATGAAAAGGTCAACCATGTAGACGAGGAGTGAGAAAAACAACAACAAAAACACATGTGCACATATATACACACTAAATATTAAGATGAATTAATTAACTAAAATTAGTTATATAATACATGTTAGTCTTTTATATATAAACTATTTCTTCATTACTTTTTTTTTTAGATTTCATTTACTTATGTTTAGAGAGAGGGGAAGGGAGTGAGAAAGAGAGGGAGAAAAACATCAATGTGTGGTTGCCTCTCTCGTGCCCCCTACTAGGGACCTGGTCCACAACTCAGGCATGTGCCCTGACTGGGAACTGAACCACTGACCCTTTGGTTCAAATCCAGGACTCAATCCACTGAGCCACAACAGCCAGTGCATCTTCATTACTTCTTTTTAATACATCTTAAAGTGTGATGCTATGAAATTCACGTAAATTTAATTCTATATAAAAATGGTCATAAAGAAGCATAATAACGATAGTTTTGAAGGGGTGGAATCAGATGGGACAGGGTTTCTGGCTGTGATCAGAGATACTACCCTTTTCATCAGCTGCCAGGGTTTCTCCTGCTCTTTCCTCCTCCTGAACCCTTTCTCTGAAGCAGTGGTCAGGGAAGTAGAAACAGGACACTGGTAGGCAGCCAGCCACTTAGGTCAGCATCTCTCCCAATCCATAAGAGAACGTGTATTATCAATACTTGCCAGAGGCAGGGACAGTTTAGGCAACAGCCAAATGACAGCTGTTCTGGCCACGTGCAATGGACTCGAAACCTAACAGGCTGAGAGGCTGATGGAGCCTGAAGTAGAAAGTCCACCCATAGTGATGGCCCAGGGACGGGCCACTCCCAGGGTCCCTGTCAGTGGGAAGGGACCTTGGTGGATTCTCTCTGGTTTCCCCTCATAGGTGAGGTGCATCCTGATTTCTTACAACACTTGTTATTGCCACTCTCCAGTCGTAGAGCAGCATATAGGCCATTTCCATTAGAGTACACGTCTTATTTTCTTACCTTGTTCCCAAACTACAGGTGATAGACACTGCAAAGGGAGTAAGACTGTCCATACGTGGGCTGGAAATAGGACCAACGTGCATTATAAAAGCTTTGGCGGGCAGAATGGAGTCACTGAAGTTAATACATAGGTGATCCGGCAGAGACCACGTCCAACACAAAATACAAAACTGGACAAATGTTGAGAGCAGTGGCTGAAGATTTTCTAATGTGACATATATATGAGTCACATGTGCACTAGAACACTTCTTTTATTTTTAATTTTTTAAAAAGGTTTTATTTATTAGTTTGTAGAGAGAGGGGAAGGGAGGGATGGAGGAGGAGAGAAACGTTGATGTGTGAGAAACATTGATCGGCTGCCTCTTGTATGTGCCCTGACTGGGGACAAACCCACAACCCAGGCAGGTGCCCTGACCCGGGAATCAAACCGGTGACCTTTTGCCTTGGGGGACGATGCCCAACCAACCGAGTCACACCAGTCATGGCACACTAGGACAATTCTCACACTCTAAGCACAGTCAGAAGTAAGAAAAGATCATGTAGTTTTGACATGTGTTTCAGGCAGCTGGTTAAAAGCATATTTTATTTTTATTTTTATTTTACTTTTTAAAGGTTTTATTTATTTACTTTTTAGAGAGAGGGTAAGGAAAGGAGGAATAGAGGGAGAAAAACATCAATGTGAGGTTGGCTCTCATGTGCTCCCAATGGGGGACCTGGCCTGCAACCCAGGAAGGTGACCTGATTGGGAATCGAACTGGCAACCCTTTAGTTCCTAGGCCTGTGCTCAGTCCACTGAGCTATATCAGCCAGGGTATGGTTAAAAACATATTTTAAAAAATAAAGCAAGCAGTGTCTAGATAATCACATTAGTGATTATAACCAGGTTGGCACGACAGTAGAACGGACTGATCTTGAAAGCTCAACATCCTATTTTGGTTTGAAGCAGATACATACAAAGCACAATGTTGCAGTTAAGAGTTGAAATCTATACTCAGACTAATTGATTTTGAATTTCTACTTCACTTACTAGTGATACAAATCTTGGGAAATGTTGTTAATCTCTCTGTGCTGCACTTCCCTCATCTGTGCAATGAGAATAGTAACTAGAGGGCTGCTGTGAGGATTTCATGAGATAGTTCACAGTAAAGCTTAACCAAGGCCCAGCTGCCGGTGCTGCCGTGACTGCTGTCACTCCTGGGGCCAGAGGAGCACTCACCGAGATGCGTGTCCATCACCTTCGCACAGTACTTGCACATGGCGTCCAGGTCATTCAGCTGCCCTTGAAGGAAAGAAATTTGAGCTTCTAAATCTTCTTCCTAAAACGAAGGGGGTAAAATAGGGAAATTTTTAAAAACAATCAAATACAATCCCCAACGTTCTCCAGTGACCTGGACTATTTCAAAGAGGAACAATGTCTCTGTCCTAGCCAAAACAAAACAGCAAATAGACAGGCATGAACTCAACCTTACCACTACAAATAGAACAGAGAAAGGGTATGTATGGGGGTTGGAAAAAACCTGGACTTTTCCTAACTGAATGCTAGCTTTGGGCCATGTACAAATGTCTACCCACACAACCTTGCATAAAAAAGTACAGATAATATCTCCCACAACTACTGAGCCCCACAAATTGGGAGAGTAAATTGGATTTCAGTGAACCATACTCCCCAGGCATCTGGTACAAACACATTACATTTTCTCTCACACACATATGGGAAACCGGAGATTTCCATTTGTACAAGACAAATCTCATCACTTTCCAGACAATGGTGTCTCTTAAATAGTGAGATTTCCCCAGAGCACTTGGAAAAGTTTTGTCCCTGCAGCCCATACACAGCTGCTCTTATATTTCCTCTTGATATGCCACTGGAACATTTTATTTATTTGATTGTTTTTGGCAAAAATACCCTGGGTTGAGTAATTATCTAAGTGGTAAAGACAACCTAACTGTAACAAAAGGAAAAAGTCTGTTTTTTTTTAAAGGAAAAAAAAGATACATGGAAAAAATTTCCCAAGAAAATTTAGAAGATTAAGGGAATTTTTCTCAGAGAAAGAGAATTAGCCTCATTAGGTAGGAAATTTTAAACTAAGCTAGAATACAAAGAGATGTTGCTAGAGGTGGAATAGGCTAGAAAATGGGTTTTTCAGTTTTAGATGCTTGTCCTTTCACATAAAAATCCTGTCGTTAAAAAGGGGAGAGAAACCTACCAAGATATGCTCTTCCTTGGGGACTGAGCATAGGTTGATGTATAGATGGAAATGAACAGTTGAAAAGGTTACTTGTAGGTGTATTCCATTTTAGCAGCACACATATGCAGCACTGAAAAGTATCATTTCTAACAGCTGCCTGGAGGATAAGCTCTTAGGAATGTGCATCTAAACGCTTGCCTCCGAAAACAGAGCAGTAGCTCTGCAAAACAAATGACTGAGAAGTGGCCACTGTGGGATAACACAGGCAGTAACCATATTCTCTACAGATCCCACCACGTGCAGCAGCCTCTCCTCTGATGTGCAAAGAAAGACAAATACAACCAGAAGCAGCTCAGCCAAGGGATGATTACAGGGGCCTATGGGGAGGTGGTGCCGCCTTCCTGACACTTTGGCTGGGCTTTAAGGTGGAAAAGGATGGGGTGTGTTGGGGTATTACTCTTTGCCCTCTGTTTCCACTGAGTTTCCCTGTTCTATCAGGACACTGTAGAAGAAAGAAAACTGCATGTGTTGACTAAAAGGTAGCTGTAGTTAGTTTCTAACTAACTACAAGTCGGCCACCATCAAGTCCTTCCTCCCCTTAAACCTGGGTTGGACGCGTGACTTGCCTTGATCCACGGAATGCAGCAGAAGTCAAACTGTGCCAGTTTGGGGCTAGTGCAAGAGGCCTGCTGACTCCTGCTTTCACTATAGGAAGACAGCTACTATGTTGTAAAGAAGTTCAGGCTAGAATACTGAAAGAGAGTGGAGAAACTCTGGAGAGAAAGTGGCCACAGGAGAATCTCTGAGTTCTGGACATGTGAATGAAGTCACACTGGACCCGTCAGCTCCACCCATCGGAACCAGCCAAGTAAGCAACCTGTCATCATCACGCAGAACAGAACAGCCCGCCCAAGCCTTGTCCACATCCCTGGCCCATAAACCCATGGAAAAATAGCATTGCTATGGTTCTGAGGAGTGGACTTTTGGAGCGGTTTGTTACACAGCAACATACAACTGAAACAATGGTAGAACAGCAAGAACATTGGATTGGTCTATGGCCTGGGGACATTTGAGTTCTATTTCTGATCCTGCCACTTACAAGTCATGCAACTTGAGGTAATCCTCTACCCAGCCTGGGCCTAAATTCAGCACTCTCTGGAGCAAGTACATGCCAGACACTGTGCTCTCACAAAGCTTACAAACTTGTAGTTGGAATAAGAAAGATACTTTCTTTATTACTAGAGCATGAGGTAGAGTACACGAAAGTCGTATAGTTAAGTAAGAATAATTGCTGGGGGAATCCTGGTCCCTGCCTCCTGTCCCTTCTACTAAACGAATCACCTTTTCAGTGTGTTACAGACACCAACCCAACCAGTGAGTCTGGAACCGTCCTGAGGTGAGAGCTCAGCAGTCTGTTAATGGAAGGGGGCCCGCTGCACCCGAGTTCTTCCTCGCATGTGACTACAGACCAGGGTGCTGCCAGCCAGAGTGAGCAAAGGGCACTGGGAAGGTGCCACCTCCTGGCTCGAAAGTATCTCTGTTGTATCAGTTTAATTTGGATGAAGCAATCACTTCTTTAAAAATGCAAAACCCTTGGGAAATTTAATCCCCAGCAGACAGTCCTATCTCAAGGATTTATTATATTCAGTTGGTTTTCATTTTAAAAGCTGGGATGAAAAAGCTCTTCAGAGGAGAGGTGAGACACCTGGCCTGTTGGTGGGGAGGTGCTGAGCTCAAATGGGAGGTCTCTTCCTCAAAACACCTAACTATGCCAGCAGGAACATTCTTGTAATGAACATGTGGCCAGACTGGTGCGCTCTGAACTGTGCGGTGCATGGGGAAGCCCCGAGAACATGGCGGCCCAGATCGCTTGATGCGTGACCGTGTGGAAATATGGAAACCCGGCTTTCTAAGTCTGCAAATGTTACTTAGGACTCTGGTGGCAAATGAAGAGCATCTTGCTTGCCTAAATCCCAAGTAAACCTCAACACAAATGGAATGTGTACTGTTGAAAATGGCAACTTTCATTAATTTAAACCTTTTTTTCCCAAAGGAAAGCTCACATGAAGACCCAATGTATGAGATAAGAAGAGTATTCTGGTTGAAATAGGTCGAGAGGCTATCCTTCTAGAGTTTACTTAAGCTTAAAACATTCCTAAACCTTTCAACTATAACTCAGACTGTATAAATAGAAGTGGAATCACTCGGAGGCAAAAAGGTGGCTTGTCATTTATTCCTCACTATATAATTACAGATAAGAGGCAGAGCCGAGAATCAAGCTTCTGAAATTGGGGAACTGACTTCACGTTGCTATCTTAGCTTCTTGTGCTCCGCGCTCTCCCCAGCTAACATGCTTTAAACACTGACAGCTTTAGTCGTTTGTTTTCATTAAATTGGTCCTCTGTAATCAAAAACAAATGCTTGGCTAATTGCCTTCAGGTTTTATGAAAACAACCAGTTAGTATAATTTTTATGTATAAATAAGACACTGAAGAAAAATGTTTATTGTACAGCAGTTCCTCGAATAACATCTTTTCATTCAATATCATGCTATTAAGTTGATGAGATGTCATAGAAACTTAACTCTTGTTTATATCAATTAGTACAATCGGTTTTGTTATAGGTTGTCTCACCTAGAGTCACAGAGCCTGCTGATGGTGCTAAGTGAGGAATCACTGTGTGCACCTTTGCATCTATGTTCTACCTGCCATCATAGGAGGGAGTGCGGTGGGGCAGGATGAGTCTGGAGTAAACACGCCTAGGTTCGAGTGGGCTTTCTGCCAGTTAGGTACAAACTGTATATAATCTTAGACTAGTTCCCTAATTTCCTGGTCCCCTCACCCCCACCTAGCAGGACTGGGGGAAGAACAAAATGGGAACAGCATGGAGAGTATCTGGCACCGAGCAGGTAACTCAATAAGGGCGATTATTCTTTCTTTTAAACACTTTTTTTATAATCAGGTCTAAACAGTGAAACAGATTTTAGGTAAGGGTTTTATGATTCACTGTTGTAAAACGCTGGTTTGTGGTTTTAAATCCTTTATGAGGCTTAGCCCAGGAAAATTAATTAGGGCTGAAGAGCCTAGCACTGTCTTCAGTTCTGGGTGGCAACTTGATGTGCGAGGCAAGACACTGATGGGGATTGTGAAGGAGGGCCATGCAGGCTACTGTGTGTGACTCATCACCACCTGTGCTGGCAGCCTGGCAGGAAGACGAGGTCCACTCCACTGGAAGAGAAACGCATCTAGCACCTACCCCTTCTATAGTGATTACAATATTCCAGACACCGAGCTTCGCCTGCATAACTCATTTAATCCTCATCACAGACCTAGACCGTAGATTCTCTCACCATCACCTACATGGGCCATGGTCTTTGTAAACACATTCTCGGAAGTGGATGCTGGGGGCAGACAGCTGGTTGAGAACCCAGGTCCCCTGGCCCACTGCTCCCATTTCTTCCCCACATGCACATTTTCTCGCTTGCTTAGTTCCATGAATAATCTTAATCTCAGTCTCCTTTAAGAGAGATTCAGCAATTACCATGTGGAGTTCTAACCCCAAATTACTTACTAAATTGTTTTCCTTGCAAAAAAATTTAGGCATAATTGGTTGTGGTCTGTTTTGTTGTTTGCTGAATGATTCTTGTTTTGACTGTACCTAAAAAATGACTTCTTTATAATTAAGCTTTTTAGAAAGTGGTGTTTCCACTACCATTTACCCCAAAATAGTTGATGTGTCATTACACTTCTACTCAGATATTATACATCTCAGTTGTTTGAGTTATTTTATAATATGTGGATTTTACATATCAACTTTGTTAAATGCTTCCATTGTGTTTCTGTTATTTTATATAATAAAACAAGCTTTTGCAGCTTATTATTTATTCCCTTTTATGAATTTACTCAGTAAATATATTTGTGTTAGGCCCTGTGGAAAATGCAATGATGAGTGAGAATAAAATCTGGCCTCTGCAAGTTTAGAAAGGTAAGACCTATACATAATGCCAGGAGACAAGGAGGGTGAGCTCTGCAGCAGATTTGAAAGAGGAGCCTGCACAATTCTGGGGAGGGCAGATGACTCCCAATTTGTAGAGGTGGAAATGAAAGCAGATTTTTAGGATGAGACAG